TTTTACATAGGAATATATAGGAAAAATCTTTGAAAATCTTCTTTTCAAGAACCACTGGGCCAGAGAAGCTGAAACTTATGTGGAAGCATCCTGGGCTATAGAAGATTCTCAATTGTTCAAATCATGACCCCGGGGGGAAGGGCGGGCCACAATGGGGAATCAAAGTTTTACATAAGAATATATAGGAAAAATCTTTGAAAATCTTTTTCTCAAGAACCACTGGGCCAGAAAAGCTGAAACTTATGTGGAAGCATCCTGGGGTAGTGTAGATTTTAAAATGTCTAAATTATGATCAGTGGGGTAGATTGGGGATGCATTATGTATTACAAGGAGGAAATCTGGTAAAGAACAGAATAGTCAAAGCTTCTGAGGTGAGCGATGTGGCCCATGGGCCTCTTGTTTAGTTCATATACTACAAACTCCAGAGGAGTCGTAATTCTAATTGAATTAATAATAACGTTGATTTTAAACCTATTATATTGCAGGAAAGGGCGATGTTGCCGGAAACTATGTATTACTTAAAGCATGTATAGAGGGCCATGAAGTATTGTTATGCACTATTTATGGTCCTAATAATGACACACCACTCTTTTATGAAAACATTCAAAATCACATTGATGATATGTATTGCAGTCAGATTATCTGGTGTGGTGATTTTAATCTAGTTTTAAACCCTGACTTAGATTATTACAATTATAAATCTATTGATAATCCGAAGGAAAGAGACAAGGTGTTGGAAATAATAGAAAATTCTTCTTATATTGACCCTTTTCGACAATTACACGAAAATGCTCGTAGATACTCCGTTGAAACAAAGTCGTTTATATTTCTTTTTGATATCTGAGTCAGGGTTAGAAAAATGCACTATAGAATCTAGCTATAGATCAGATCACTCCATAATATCACTGTCTATAGCTTTTAATGATTTTAAGAAAGGAGGTTTATGGAAGTTTAATAACTTTTTACTTCATGATGAAAATTATTTGGAATGCATTAAAAATGTTATCTTAGAGGTTAAAAAACAGTATGCAACTGCAGTATACAATATGGATAACATAAATAATATCCTAGATTCAGATATTTCCTTCACTATAAATGATCAATTACTTCTTGAAACCATGCTCTTTGAAATAAGGGGTAAAACTATATCCTATGCAACTTACATAAAAAAAAGAAAAAGGAAAATAAGGAGAAAGAATTAATAGAAAATATCAGGATACTGGAAGAAAATGTTTGTGAAAATAATATTGATGAATTATTTAGTAAAAAGCAAGATTAGAAAACATTCGAAAACATAAGTTACAGGGTTCATATATCAGAAGTAGAGCAAAATGGGTAGAGGAAGTTGAAAAACCATCAAATTACTTTTGTTCATTAGAATCTAGAAACTTTACTAGTAAGATCATACCAAGATTAGAAGATAATAATGGAAATGTTATTTATGACCAAACAGAAATTTTAAGAGAAGCAAAATATTTTTATGAAGAGTTATATACAAAAAGTACAGTTACTACAAATACTGATAATTATAGTTAATGAGCTAAGAAATAAAGAAATTCCTAAGCTTTCAAGCAAGGAATGAGAATCTATAGTAGGTGAAATTACAATGGAAGAAGCTTCTTCTACACTTTACAAAATGAAATCAAATAAATCCCCTGGATCAGATGGTTTCTCTGCAGAATTCTTCAAGATGTTTTGGAAATACATTGGGGTTTTTGTAATTAGATCTATTGATTAAGTATAACAGTCTATCTATTACACAAAAACACGGTATCATTACTTTGTTACCAAAAGGTGACAAGCCAAGACAATACTTAAAGAATTGGCGACCTATCACTTTATTAAATACGGTATATAAAATTGCATCTGGATCTATTGCAAACAGAGTAAAACGCTATTTAGATAAAATCATTAATGAAGATCAAAGAGGCTTCATCTCCAATAGATATATAGGAGAAAACACCAGGTAAATATATATCATAATGCATTACACTGAGGAAGAAAATAGACCTGGATTATTACTAATTGACTTTTAAAAAGCTTTTGATACACTTTCATGGAGCTTTATACAAGGCGCTCTTAAATTTTTTAACTTTGGTCTCTCAATTAAGAAGTGGGTATCCCTTTTTAACACAGATATTACATCTGCAATAAACCAAGGTGGTAATCTCTCTGATAGAATTAACATTCAGAGGGGCTGCAGGCAAGTTGACCCTTTGTCACCATATATATTTATTATATGTGCAGAAATTTTAGCAATCTAAATTAGATTAAATAAAAATATTAAAGGTATTTCTGTAAACAATACTGAAAAAAAGATTTCTCAGTTAGCATATGATATATCAATTATTCTTGATGGTAGTAAAACGTCCCTCACAGAAACATTGCAAACACTGAAGACATTTTCAGAAATGTCTGGATTACATATCAATTATTCCAAAACTCACATAGTGTGGATAGGCTCAAAAAAATTTAGTGATAAAATTTTGCTGCCAAATTACAAAATTAACTGGGGCACTACCAGATTTACTCTTCTTGGAATACATTTTGATGTAGATTTGGATAAAATATTACCATTAAATTATGAACCAAAACTGGTACATATCAAATCAATACTTAAACAATGGGAGAAAACTCCCATAGGGAAAATTACAGTTATTAACACATTAGTTCTACCATTACTAAATCATATTTTAATGTCCATCCCAAATCCTTCTGAATCGTTCTGTAAGGAACTGGAAAAATGTTTTTTTTCATTTATATGGAATAATTCAACCCATAGGGTAAAGAAAGAAGTAATTTTGAAAAAATATGAAGAGGGGGGTTTGAAAATGTTAAATTTGACATCTTTCATAGCCTCCATGAAATTATTTTGGATAAGATATCTAATTTTTACAAATAGGGGGTTGGAAAACCTCATTCCTAAATTCAATTTTAACAAATTTATAAGTTGTGGAATTGAATATACTGCAACTTTTTTAAAAACATTAAAAAATAAATTTTGGATCGATGTTTTTAAGTCCTGGATAATGTTACAAAATCTTGAGAAAAAGTTTGATGTTTCTGGTGACTCGCCACTATTTTACAATCCACATTTGCATATTGGTGGAAAACCATTTTATAATAAACAAATGTTTGACAGCAGCAACATTAGACAAATTAATGATATTATTAATGAGGATGGTTCACTATTTTCCTATGAGCATTTCTGCAACACCTATCCAAATATAAAGATTAATTTCTTAGAATTCAATAGTATTATTCATGCTGTAAAGGATTTGATGAAAAATTCTGGTCAGGAAAAAACAATAAAAAAGCTCACTAATCCCATAATAATGTCTAATATCTACAGAATAATGAAATGTAGAAAATCCAAATGCTATTATGAAATCTTTATTCAAAATTCTTCTGTCACAGCAGGTAGAACATATTGGGGTGAGCTTTTAGAAGCTGGAACTCAGGAATGGAAAAAAATTCACATGATACCCTTTAGGGTAACAAAAGACTGTAGACTCCAATGGTTTCAATATAGGATCTTAAACAAAATCTTAGCAACAAATTCATTTTTATTCAAAATATAAAAAAAATGACTGTAAATTATGCAGTTTTTGTCATACTGAGGATGAAACAATAGAACACATTCTATGGGAATGTGATAATGCACAATTTTTCCTTGAAGAATTTGAGCATTTGTTTGAAGATAAAACTGGTCTAATGATAAATATTACTAAGAAATCTTTTATTTTAGGATTGATTGAGGAAAATACTGATATTCAAAATGCTATTCTTCTTTGGCTTAAATACTATATTTACACTGCAAGGTACACAAAGAAACCTATTAATGTACAAAATGCAATATCACAAATGAAATTTCATTATGAAACACAAAAAATTATCTCTTTTAAGAATGGTAAAAAGGAAAAGTTTGATACCCAGTGGAACAGATGGAATCTGCTAGTTTCTTAACTAGAACCTTTACACTCTTTCTCTCTCTCTCTCTCTCTCTCTGTCTCTCTCTCTCTCTCTCTCTGTTGCTCACCTCTCTCTCTCTCTCTCTGTTGCTCACCTCTCTCTCTCTCTCTCTCTCTCTCTCTCTCTCTCTCTCTCTCTCTCTCTCTCTCTCTCTCTATTGCTCTCTCTTTCTTAAAATAAAAAACACATCATTCTGTCTCTTTTGAAATATGTATATAATGCTTTATGTTGTATGAATAAAAAAAAACAACAAAAAAAAAACACGACAGACAACGGACAAATTTCACTTAAGCTTTCGTTTCAGGTGAGCTAAAAAGGAACAGATCAAAGACGGACCTCTAAAGCATCAGAGGTGAGATCATGTGCCATGGAGGAGTGAGCATCCCATGCCCATCGGACAAACCCGCCACGTGATCTTTGTCATGATGGGTAAAATCGGAAAAATCCATCATTAATTCATTGTGTAAATAATGGGCTAACGATTTCATTTAAACACACTTACCATATTCAAAATTTGCTATAGTTAACTTTATTTGTTTATTAACTTAATTTTAAGATTCAAATTCAAACAATTCCTCATTCAACGTTTTTATGGATGGGATGCCATTATTTATGGCGAATTGTGTCAAATATGTGCGTCATATTAAATGTACATGTAATACAAAAGAAATCACCAAAGTGATTTCTTTAAAATTTCACATAAAGTAAATATAAAGTCATCAGGTACCAAATCATGCTGGGAACTATTTTATCACAAGTAATACACGGGTCAAATATGAATGCCCTATCTCTTCTCAATCGAAAGTTTTAATAAAAATAACATTTTGTGAGAGTAATCATACTTCAAGGTCTAGGTCACAGGGTTTCTTTCTATTCAAATGCTATGACCAAGGTTAAAGTTCTTGTGACGTATTGAATAACAAATTAAATTAAATTTTCCCTCGCCTTCGCCAAAGTGGAAGACAAGAAAATATTTCCTTCAGAAAATTTCTGTAATAGTAATTAAGGACTAATTGTTAAATTCTTACCTACAATATTCCTCTACAGTGTCTTTGGCATTCAATCTCTTTAAAATTTCTGGTGAGTTAATCTTGTTTGCAAAGTTTTGCAATGAATGCATATGTTGCCTGAAGCAATCAGCAATTCCCGTATTCGTACACCCTTTGACAAGGATCCCTAATTTAAGCATACATGTCAAATGTTTTGCTAACAAGGTAAAATATATTGATATCCTCATTAAGTAAATATGTACATGTATATGATAAAGAAGATAATTCCCGATAAAAATCATTTGTTGGTTCAATTTTGATGATGTTTAACAAATTCGGATTTACTTTACTATAATCAATTAAAATCGATGAACATTTAATACTCACCAGATACACTAGCAAATGTAATTAGTAGAAGGTAGGCCATTGTCACAAATTGTATTTTTACAATAACAATAACTTTAACCTAAATATTGCAAATTAAATATTCTTTTCTTCATGGAAAATCCAAAAGGGATTTTTTTCGACATGCTTACTGTTTTTATGCGTCATTTATTTGCGTATTTATTTTGGAGACAAAAATGTGATTAATTTTAGAAATTACGTTTTTTTGATAAATATTTTTTAAATTGTGTATTCGTCTTTGTATGTTTTGCAACCTGCTCGATAATTATTATTTCAGATAATTCTACTTTATACATGCACATACGCAATAAAACTTAGATTTAATATTTTTTACTTTTCTTTAATCCTTCTTAAACAAAGTCCGACTTCAATAAAATATGAAAATATACAAAAACATTTAAAAGACCATTATTTAATCCATCATAATCTTTTCAGAAAAGGAAAAGAGAGTATCTTTTGTTTTTGGAATATATTAAGATTTAGTGTCTAATCATACCACAGGTTTAAGGATAAATGCATTTTTTCATAACCTTTCACAAGAATTTTTGTGCAATTTTTTAATGTTTCTTTTCAATAAATTTGAATATTTTAATAGAATAACTAAAATACGTATCTCTTTCCTTTTAATAATCAGATTCCACCCCTCTTTCTCTTTCATAAGCAGGATTTCTGTTAGGGTCAAGATCTAGTAAATGATTCAATGCCTTTAAATTTCTTAAATTCTTTAATGATGATTTAAAACAAAGAAATATTAAATTATCAAATCATTTTTTTTATAAATCAGATGTGAAAAAGAATTAGATATAATACACTGTACATGATCAGTGCATACATGTATGTCCCTTCAAGTGACAAAGCAGGTACGAGTAACAACATTGTCTTTGTTTGTAAGGCTCATTATATTATATAAAATTCCTTTTAGAGAAACTTGGATTCAATTTTGAAAGTGGTTATCCAATTTATACTCATAGTTTCTTTATACAGAGAAAATTCTTTTAAAAATTATTAGTAATTTTGAATATTTCTAAAATCCCAAACATCCAAAATGAATTTTAACTTCCATATACCGAAGCGTCAAAAGAATTCCTTACAACCAAATATGCATATTAGGTTCCAGAAAATGTTCTACCAATTGCAAGATTCTTTCTTTGCTCCTCACAGAGATATTAAATGTAGTTAAAAAGAATCCTCAAGAGTACTGCTCAACTATATTTTCGAAAAGAGGTTTAAATCAAATGTGGATGATAAGAAATACCAAGGTATTTTAGAACATTTAAAATTTACCAATATCAACAACATAACTTACAACTTTTCAATTGTATATACAACGATTCCTCACGATAAATTCAAGTCCAAGTAGCATTGACATCTGCTTTTTTTTAAAAATAAAAATGGAACTCATTAACTTAATTTCCTAGTCATTGTTTATTTGCAATATGAATTTGTTAAAACATATTTTGATTGTACACACAAGAAGACTGAAGTTTATATTTAAAAGATGCTCTTAATTCTGATCATGATTGACAAGTTCTATGTGCATTTTGGAGACCAGGTCTTCTGATGACTAATTGGAATTCCCATTTGTACCGATTGCTTAGAAGACCTATTTGTTTAAAATATTTACGTGAAAAGAAGAAAAGACTTTCTTTTGAGCGCGACATTTTGATATACAGACGACGTAGTGTCAATTAGCAATAGTTTTTTCGATTCCGGTGTGACCGTTGAACAGGGAATATTTATTCATTCGTGACACCTGATGCCACCTTCCTATATTTTCTATTCTATTGTTTTGTGTTTTGCTCCTACTTTGTAATTTCGATGAGTTTTTGAGCTAGAATACATTTTGTTATCTCAACATATTTCATTCGATACGCTCTGCTTAATACCTTAAAAAATGTTATTTTAAACATGTGAGATATAAAAAAGAAATTCTGAACTTTAGACAAATGAAATGTTTTCAAATACCCAGTTTCTCAAAAAACGTACTTTATATTTCAGGGTTTGTCAGTTCTAGAGATATTTAAATAATTTAAAAAAATAAAACTAAATTGACTTGTTCAAGTATCAAACATCATTGAGGCTGTACGTCCTTTTTGTTTTTTTGAAATAACGTTAAAGATAATTTATGTACTCCAAATAGTGTTTTTGTTTATGTTTATGCTTCAAATTTGCTTTTAAAAAGGACAGCTTATTAAACAGCTGAAATTTTATTTTTAAATTGTAATTCTGAGTACTACATGTATATTACAAATAAATTTTTTGAATTAACATCATTATAAACACATTGATTGAAACATATATAAAAAGATAAAACTTGTATTTATTTCTGGATTTCTCTTCAAACTCGGAAGGTTAGAACATCATAATCCTGCAGTGACTGGTCTAGGAAGGCTATACAGAATTTGACATTTAAAGTAATCCTCAGGACAATGTCCGGCATTGCATGTGTTCAGACACCAGGAAGCAGCGTCATCTTTGGCGCCAAATTTTGCCAAGACTGGCTCACATACAAGAACCTGTGTGGGAATTTGGCAGTCACATGTACAGAGGTTTTCAGGACAGTTTCCAAGCTTACAATTAGTTTCACACCAACTATCCATCTCCTTTTTCGTGCTCTCCAGGACGTGTGTATCAGAGCTGTTAGGATATTTATAACAATATTTCGCACAGGTTTTGATTACATTGTTCAAATTCTGTGAGGAGGGATATTCATTTGGTGAATGACCTGCGTCAGAGAATCATAAAAATAATTGAAAAATTAATGAATTAAATATGAAAATATTGTATAGAATTCTTGGTTCTCAGTTGTGTCTCTCTCTATCTCTCTCATTCTAATAATGCTACATTGTACAATTGCATATGTCATTTTCAAGATACCATACATAAAAATGTACAGATTTGTATGAAGTGTACTCACTGTGGTTACACTGAACACCTTTCATCAAAGGTTGAAGGGTTGCCTCGAGATAATGATGGACAAATTGACCTGCTGATTCTCCACATGCTACCTTAGTTTTCTCCTCAATACAAGTAAGCGCCTCTTCTGAGGTTCTTCAAGATAATATCGATAATAATAATAATATATATATATATATATATATATATATATATATATATATATATATATATATATATATATATATATATATATATATATATAGCTTTAATCCTTAGTTGTAAAATTAGCTTTTTGAAGTAAAGTATAGTGACTTTGTTTAATTTAAATTTTTTTTCCTTTTTAGATTTGTTTTAAATGACAATAATGTAAAACAAAATATCTGAAAATATAATTTTCACACTTTTTTATTTTAAATTATCTGGATACTTTCTCAAAATTACTTGTGTTACTTTAAAACAGAGAATGAAATGTATTTTTAATAAACAAAACATTAAAACTACGACATACATGTAGTGCAAGTACGTTTACACTTAAAATGAACTTTTACCTGCATTTTTCATCGGAAAGTTTCCATCTATTATCATTGGCCTCGCTGACATTTTTAGACAGTTCCATCATATCATTCATACAAGTCAATGTACTGGTTTGAAACGCATCAGTCATCAAGCAGTGGAAATGATTAATGAAACCTGTAACGTTGTGAAAAAGACATTCTTTATTCACTTTACCTTCCTTGATTTTATTTGTGTTTTGTTGACTTAAATGACAAAGCGTTTCATACAGGTTGTACAAAGTAGTTGTTATATTTGATAATTTGCTTAAATCACGTTTTATCTTTTACCCCATGCAGATTTGTAAAAAAAAAAAAAGTCTACCTTGTTTACCCTCTTTGCAGAGGAAGTTTCCAGCAGATATGATGGTGTCCAGTGACAGAGTGTCTCCGGAAGGACAAGTAGCTCTGTAGTCTTGCATGCATAAATCTAGTTTTTTGTGAGCACTATAGCATGAAAGAAGAAAATATAAACATGTTGTCGTAAAGAAAAAAATTATAAGAGAACAATTTACAGAATACATGTATTATATTTTCTCAAACAATAATAAACAAAAGTATATGTATCATAGAAAGTTTGTATTGTCCATGTTTTACAATTTTCTTGAAGACAAAAGAGCCCTTTTCATCTCAATATTTGTATGATTGAGCTAAAAAAAAAGCTTTAAAAAATAACTGTACAGAAAGCAAGGTTACCTGCAATATTCCTCAGTTGCATATTGGGCATTCAATGTCTTCAAGAACTCTGGAGTTCTGAACCTGCTCATGATTTCTGGCACAGATGACCCACTCCAGCATTTTAAAACGCCATTTATGTTACACTCTTGTGCTATGGTTTCTAGTAAATTCAAATTTTATGTTAAATCCAAAATACAATATAAATACATATGATTTACAAACATACTTGATACGTTTCAATTTATTCATTAAATTTTTAAACAGGGAAATTTGTAACGTTTTGTTAATTCCATAGTGTAGTTAAGTACAATATAGTTACTTGTAAATCATGTTAATGAAAATTATGTGTTTCTTTATTTGTTTTATTTAGAACATTTTGAGAACGGTCATCTACTTACCAAATAAAACCGCAAACAACAGAAGTAATGGTAGATGTAGCTGCTTCATTTTGGATGAATACTTCAGTTCTATTGCTTTCTATTTATTGTCTCAAATTTAAAAACAAAAAACCTATCCCCTCGGAAGCAAGGTGATTGTTTGAAATACATGCTTCTTTACCTGTTTACGTCAGTATATCTGCGGCACAAAAACGTTGACCTATCATCTTAAAACAACAGTTATACGGTACAATGAAATGACGTATTCCTCATTAAAAATAAATCTAGTTTTTTATTGGTCAATTTGAGAAAAAGACATATACAACTGTAAATAGAATTTCCGGATTAGTCGAAAGGAAACTATTAATATATTATGAGTAAATGAAAAGGAGGCATGAATGTGACACAGACAGCGGTAAGGTGTATAACAGTTACATTTTCTTAACAAATGCTCTTCAAAGAAAAAAAAAAGTAGAGCGGACTGAGAAATTAACAATTTCAACATTTAAGGTCCTGTATTTCTAAAAACTCTAAAATTGTACCATTATTAGTAAGCAATATATCATAATTAATCACGGGAAAAAGAAAACACATCAAAGCATATGAAATATGGAGATAACGAACGGAATTCAAACTCATAATTTTAATTCAACTGAATCAAAACAGAAGGAGAGAAAACATGGGCCTCTAAAGCATTAAAGATGAGATCAGATGCCATGGAGGAACAAAAATTCTCCTGCCAGCCGGTAACACCCCCATGTGTTCAATGTTATGATCGGGACAACGATACAGACAATTTAATGTGTAAATACCTGGTAATTGTCTAAAAATTAGTGAAGACATCGGCGACTATTAATGATACTAGTAGACAGCATTTGCTGATAAGGGCTTGCGTCGATCATAAACTTGCGAAATGATGACTGTAATTATGAATGTAGATATTGTTCCATGAACTTGTTTGTCAATGGCTGTCTTGTTGAAGAAACGCTTGTAAGTACAGCACGCTCTTGCATGTTAAATCTACAGAGGCATATAATCAATAACAGGTTATAAAGGTATATTGCTACATCGTAAGGGAAGTTGACGGTTAAAAATGTGAAGTCATCAAGTTTATCAAATGAAGTTTTGTTAGATTACGATAACTTTTCCTAGTAAAACATTAAAATTTGAAGGAAATGTGGCAGATAAATTATAAATGTGGTATCTTCATTTTCAAGGTCACTCTGATTAAAAAATGTCGAACTTTGAATGAAAGTAACGATAGATAATAAATTATGCGTTTGTATCTGTAACTTTAATGTTTTGCTTCTCTTTGTATTGTTAAAAAGTACAATCACTTTCAAATTGCTACACTGTAGAATGGAAAGCTGCCAAATACTTTCAACATTGTTATTGTATGAATATGAAAAGACGGTGAGCAATTTTTTAATTCACAATTTTTTTCGTTCTTTATAGAAAAATGTACTCAGTGGTGGGCTATTTGTATCATGACTCTTCTTTTCTAGAGTTCTATCTTTCAATGATAAAAAAGATTATCAAGAAAATGAACGCATTTATAAGCAAGCTGCTGTCCCATTTTTAATTTGAATTCTTTGCCCCATAGTATTTATCAAATACATTTTTGATTCAAAACAAAAATAATCTCACAAAGAGTCCATTCTATTCCCTAGAAAACATTTGAAAACGTGCAATTCTTATTCTAAGAAATAAGTGTATCAAGAAAATACATGAAAAGCATATACATGATAATATACATTTCCTAAGATGCGTATTGGTTATCGGTAACATCTTGAAAACTTGCAATTCCGAGAGACAAGTAACTTACATTTCTATAAAATTCTCTTTTGAATTAGGTCGCTGATCTTATGTATTATTTGTCTTTATATGCCTCTAAGTGTTAAGTGGGCATCTTTTCTAAACGTTTCTTAATACAGTGGAGCCTCATTTATCCGGACGCTTTGGTTCCTAGTTAATTTGTCAGAATATGTGAAGCGTCCGGATACCTGAATCACCAGTTAAACAAAACAGTATAACATTTAAAAATTCCGTCCCGATGAAAAATCGTCCAAATACTGAAGCATCCGGATATCTGGGGTCCGGATATTTGAAGGTCCACAGTACCTTTTTTATTGAAACATATATGTGAATTAGGATGCATTTGCAGGCAAATATTACACAAATGCCTAATGACCAAAAATGCTCACAAATAAGCATATGTATTCTTCTTTCTTTTAAAACAAACCCCTGAAAAGACAGAATGTATTTTTATCTTATTCTTTATTACTTTTTCATCGAATATAATAAAAAAAACCGCGATATGAAACATATTCAAAACGTTCATCTACATGTTTCCATTTCGTCTGATAGAAAGAAATTGTGAGAAGAATGGTCAGGGGATGTAAAACTCTTAGAATCATGTATTTGTACACAATCCTAATCTTAGACTATAATAACAAAGGAACTTGTGAGATTTGAAATTACAAAAAAAGTCATGCTTTCATTATTATGATTATTATCTTTAAAGTATTACTGAATGCAAACAAGATTTTTTTATTCTGTTAAACATTTAAACATTAAACAGCAACCGGAATAATATAAAATTAGGAAAATGCCTCAGAAAACTGCAAAATCGTGGTAATTTCAAAATACAAAGAGTGCATAACTGAAATTAAAAAATTCATTCTATAATACTGAATTTGTTCTTCGATACGAAAGCAAAATATTGTCTGAACCTTTTGATCGACGTTTAAAATCTTCTATGTCTGTGATGAAATTACGAATCTTGTTCTCTAAAGACCCGTCGCCTTTAGCCCAAGCGGCCATTTTCAATTTTCTCTCCTCTTTCTCTTTGTCGGGTTTGCCAAATTTCTCTTCGTGTTGAATTTTGCTCATTTCCTCTAATTCTCGTCTAGATTTTGTCTCTTTCATTTTCCGCGCATTAACACCAAACACTACGACAGGATGAATATCCATTGCCTCTAGAACCTCGCCATCTTTTAGCTGTCTTAACTTTGATGTCATAGGACGTCTCGTTCTACCGCCAGATCTCTTTAAATCTCGTATATTTCTCGCGCGATCTCGTATGTTGGATGGTGCTGCTGACTGGGTTTGTCGAATGTTTGAAATGGACATTGACTGGCGATGAAGTTCATTAGAAGGGGAATTGTTCTGTTTATTAGAGTTAAATCTCCTTAATGATAATTTAAACATGGCCACATTAATAGGTCTTAGTTTTATTTCATCCTCTGATCCTTCATTGGAATTATTTGCGTCTGTACTTCTTTCTTCCTCCTCGTTTGACACTCTACTCTGCTTGGAGTCAAAGTTCTCATTTTTTGAATCAGACATCTCATTTTTATTTGCATCCATTTCCTCTTTCTCTGAAATAGTTTCTCTCATTACAGCTGAGGTTCCACGAGATTTTGAAAAGGATCCAGATTTATTGCTAGATTCGTACAATTTGACACTGTTCGGACGATCTTTCTTTTTGATGGCATTACTTAGCTGTTGAATTTCTTCGGCTTGACGCCGGGCCTCCTTTAGGCTATAATCACTGTCAATCGTGGCCTTGTACTTCGCCTTGTGGATCTGGTGGATCCTGCTTTCCAGTTGAGAGTCCAGCTGATCGTTTTCCAGGTAAGTCTCACTCCAGTCTATTCCGGACTTTTTGAAGTCCATGTCTGAAGCAGACCTTGTTAACGCTGGGGCTGACATAGGGTTTTCTGAAAATTGGAAAACAAGGAGAGAAACAGAATTAGAAATGCATTGAAAATGTTGATAATCCTATCAACATCAGCTCTAAAGATTTCAAAGATTTGGCAATAATATTTTCACGCAGATTAAGATTCTTCCTTATAACAAATTATTTTTAAAAAATGAATTTCATTTTCGTGTAGAGAAATTGAAACATTTTAAAATAAATTTCATTATACAAAACTTTCTGCATCATTTTAAAGATGCATTTCGATTTATTTAGACTGTATAATTCATATACATGTATATTGCAATTAATGGTGTCTTTCAACACAGTAAAAATATTAAGCCATGGCATTAAACATTTTTAAAATGCATATTTTGGCATGATTTATCAACACGAATGTGTCATAATAGTGCTCCCACACTGATACATGCATAGACATACATACGCATAAACCTGAACACATTTAGCAGCAAACTCTCCCACAATAATGACTAGGACATTAAACTTTCACATTAATTATCAACATACATTACAATAAATCCCCATTAGATTTTATTTTATTTTAAAGAAAATTCGGCTTATTGTCCAACACCATTAACCACTAGTTATACCAGGCTATTCGGAAATTGATTTTATTCAAACGATATCAACTTTTTGTTTGACACTTTAAATGCAGTGAAAGAAGAGCAATTCAATACTTGCATTTTCAATACCTCTACATCCCCTTTTCCTCTATCTGCACGGGAACTAGGTATTACATTACATCGATTTGAAGAATTATCACAAACAATTCAACAAAGGCTGGCAAATGAAGCAGTGATTTGCAATTTAAAGAATAATGGAAGTTATCATTAAAATGCAATTGACAAGTCTATCGGTATTTTTTACTACTTTTTATTTGATAGATCAAGGAACATGAGAATTCTTCTCTTTCAGATAACAAATAAAAGAATTTCACGTTTAGATCACTTGATGAAATCTTGTTTGTTATAAAAGTTTGCTCAAGACACTTTTTATTATGAACTTTAAAGTTTAAAATAAATGCATTGACATATTTAGTAAATCATTGATGTAAGGATCAATTTTGGTTGAACATAACCACTTTATACTGGGATTCGCGATATCTTAATTCCAAAGCAAACAATTAAATTGAATTTTACTTAAATCGAACACAATATATAATGTTTTATTAAACTTTAAACATTCTGGCTCGTTATCTATTGTGAATTCATATGTTGAGAGATACAAGTTGACATTTTCATGCAATATTTAAATAACATAATGTGTGTTTAAAAATTTCATGTAGTGGGTAGTACAAATACACATTTTTTATCTCATATCAGTATCCTGATAATTAAGTGGTTCAAAAATACGTAATTACTCTACCATTCTTTATGTAAGCAATGGAGGAATTGTTGTTCCAAGTACATTGCGTATTCCATCTTTCATAATAAAAAGAAAAATACTATCTCACACGTTTTTATCAAACTCAGAAATAGATATAAGTAACTTACCTATTTAATTCAACCAATTTTAAAAACTGTTCATCTTCTGTCGTGGTGTTCCTTCGATCTCGTATTAAACTCCACGTATTCACCCGATTCATTTAAAATCTGAGGGTGGATAGATATCTATTCATTTTACTGCAAATAATAAATATGTAATCCTGTAGTCGCTCTCGCGTCAGTTTGAATTCATATGTCAATAAACTCGACATTAAGAGTTTCTGACGCGGAAAGTCTTGTCCATTAGTTAACAACAAAATATAAATCCGCGAGACAGTTGCGCGTCTGTCGTACAATGAGTGTGTGGATGTTATTTAGTATTTGTGTTTAAAAATCACCCCAGTTTCAATGGTCTCTAAATCAAATATTTAATTCATATCTTCTGTAGGCCGATTAAATTCCTCCGATCGTGCATTTGGTGATTGAATACTTTGATAGAATATGAAAGGAAAAAGAAGTTATAAAGGGAAAATGAATTTTTAAGTGTGTCTCACTATTGCAATCAGATGTTATCCATTTGGATGTAACGCATATTGAAATTAAATTTACTAAGTGCCTGTCCGAAATACTAAGTCTTTAGAATTTTTAAATTCAAAAGTACATGAATATTGTGACTCATTTTGCACCCTGCCAAAAAAAAAAAAAAAAAAAAAAAAAAAAAAAAAAAAAGCCAACAAAATATAATAAAGGAGCAATTCATAAACTGTTATTAAGTACCCACGGAAACCTCTTAATGCCGAAAATGTTCGTTCGTAAAAAAAAAGTAAAAAGAAACTTATTTGAAGCATGGCACTCAATAGGTATAAATATATTTGTTCAGTTACGAAATAAAATTTGTATAGACAATAGCTAAAAAAAGTCAGATATATGAAGATACAACTTATTGCGTTTAAAGTGGGCTGTCATTCCCTGGAAACATTCAAATTTTATCTTACCTATCAATTTCTAGCCTTAAACTTTTAAGGGATGTGGACATTGGTCCTTTGGATAAGACTGTATAAGTAGGTGTTGACATGAAAAGATCCAACACTACTCAATCGCCCTAAGTGCGAAGTAAACAACTCATCTGTTGGCGTCTCCATATGAGTAGAAAATATGAGTAAAAAATTCTCGAGATAACAGTAAATAATTAGAAAAAACAATTTAACTTCAAACTAAATTAAAGATTATTCTTGTTAAAGCTAGCAATCCTAAAAATACCAGGATTTGTATGGATAAAAATTAATTTTTCTTGTTAATAAGAATATACTTCAATATCTTCAGATCATTCTAAGCTAAGTAAGTTTCTTGAGTTTCTGCTTAACGCTTCTGAATAACATTATATATCAGTTCACGGTTAAACAGACTGAAGACTTCTTTTATTGATGACCCTTGGAAATTCCAGAGATAGAACAGGTTCCTAAGAGGGTAAACATTCCCAGTCAACCAGTAACATCCGTTGGAAGTCCTTTGTAATTTTCAAGGAGACAAAACATTATGTTGTCAAATTTAGTTTCAAACTAGAGGTACTTTGAGCAATGAGCTCACTAAATGATACCCCCCGCCTCCCATATGATTATAATGGAAAAGCTAATGTTTTGCTGTGGCCGGGAAACCCAAAATATGTGTCGGATTAAAAAGTAAAATTGGATGTGCACAATGGCAATATTAGCATCTATTAATTTAAAGAATAGATGCACTTATTTATTTATTTATTATTAGGAAAACTTTGTTGCTGCTATTTGAGTTGAGTTAGCCAGAATATAAATTAGATCGGGATCGGGATATCTCAAATTCCCCCTCTTTGGCCTGGATCCTAAAACAAAAGGTACACGAATTTTGTAGCAGACAGAATTTTTAAAAAATATGCTTTTAATCACTATTGTTTTTAAAATAGTTTCATAAAATGTTATCGACAAATATCTGATTTGATGATTAGATGCATGGGTGGATTGTTCTTTTTCGGAAAAAGGTGAGATTGGCTTGGATTGAAATTTTACATGTCGGCATACATGTGGCGTGATTTGTATTAAAAACTTGTTTACGTTTTAGTTTTACAAGCAAAAAGTATATTAGATTGAGGAATACATAGGTAATTGGTTTTTTTTTTAATTTATAAATCTTGCATTAATTGAGAGAAAAAGGGGGGGGGGGCTTTATAGCAGTAAAACTGATCAAAACATTATAATCGGGTGTCTATCAATTTTCGCAGCCTTTATTCAATTGAACATTCTCAATTCATACAACAAGGACATTTTAAAACTGAATTTTGCAATAGACTGAATTAATCTTTATTTGTTTAAAAAACGGGGGGGGGGGGGCAAAGTTATACCAGTTCCAGCTTTGATGATTTATCAATAACAGGGAAAATTCAAATATTGTAAGTTGTTATCATGCGATAGGAGCTTAGTTCATATTTGGCTGAAATAATGCACTCCATATTAAACAACAGGACAAGCCAATGCTTTATTTCAAACTTCAAATGTACTCTTGTAGTCTTGAAATTAAATTCAGAGCTTCTCAAGTGTGTCATTGCCCCATGGTTCTTTTTGGCAATTGCAAAGTTCTTTTTTTTTCAAATTCATTGGCTATCAAAGGTAGCTCAGTTGCTCATTGAGAGCTATGTTAGTTATTTTATTTGTGTGTGTGTGTGTGTGTGTGTAATTAGTCATACAATTAATTTTACAGTACAATCTGACTCAAGGGTACTCGCCTTAGCATTTTAGGGACATATATTTTCCCCCTGTGATTCATTCACCTCATTTTATTCTTGCTCATGCATTCCTCACTTCTAAGGCTATAACCAGTAGGAATAAAGGAATTGATAATTTTATTTATCTGGTGTTTAGGCAAATTAGGGAATTAGACTTGTATATTAAGGAAAATTATGACTCATTCCTCAATTCATGTCAAAGAACATAATAACCAGGGGCTAGTAACATAAAGCTTGCTAAGTTTTTGACTTAAGTAGGGTCATAAGTACGTTTTAGGCACAATCTTAGGACCTGCCTAAGTACTACTTAAGTATGTCTTAAACCGTAACATAAAGCGAACTTAGGAAGGTCTTAGCTAAGTCAAACTTATGTTCAAAATACTTCTTATGAATCACCCTATATTTTTTCATTTTATTCAGATATATTGCTACAAAATGATTCTGTTATGTTTTAATTAAATATATATAAAGGTTAACGTCCTTACCTATCGTTTTAGTTATGTAAGATTAGATTTTGTATTAAAGATATAATTTAATTTGCTGTAAAATACACTGCATATTTGATTAAGTAAAAATATTGAGCGGTCACATAACGGTGATCTGTGGTTCATTGTAAATGTATGACTATTGTTTATCCCCCGAAGCTGCGATGTTTTCAGTTACCGTTTATTGTTCTTTTGTTTTGACAAATGTTCACTTGCTTTGTTATTCTCGTAGACATGACAAAATAACCGAAAGTCTGTCTACTTGAAATTAAAACTCTAAATCAAAGTACTGAAAGTACTGGGAAGCGGTTAGCATGCATGCATTGAAATTGGCATGGGGAAGTAATATGCAGAACATGACCAGGTGTAAATATATTTCAGTTATGCCAATTACTTGAAGTCAAATTTTAGTGCAATATAAATTTGATAAATTCTTAAAAATTAATTCACAGTTCACACGAATAGTTTTATTTGCAGTAAATTCATGAGAAGTAAACTAATGCAAATCAAGCTTATACAAACTAGAACAGTCCAAAAGGGACAAAATACCCCCGCTGAATTTTTCAGAAGTAAGTTTTTACGTAATGAAGATATGTATCACACATGAATTATGAAATTTTTCTTCTATTGACCTTGAAGTTCCCAAAATGATCTTGGGTCAAGGTCATGACCCATC